GGGGGGGGGGATAATATTGAAATGGTGGTAGGCACTTGTGGACAGATGTTACATAAACTCCGGGGAGTTTCTGGATCAGCTGAGCGACTATTAGTTTCTGAAGTAGGACAATATTCTGTGGAATTTGTTCGGTTGAGTCAACTTTGTTAATTAACAATTTTTATATATGAGATATTCTGTAAGAATCTTTCGATGGGAAATCGGTCCATCACAGTTTTTGTACCCACACACAGCAACACAGAAAAGTGTGGACATATATAGGCTGATTCAAAAGGTTAGGGCCAAACTGAAGGAGCGTATAGAGAGACTCAGAGAGAACAACTTTCGAATAGGAATCCATGTCCTCCGAAGTTATCCTGAGTCAGTCGTGGCCATTGAAGGTAAGGAAGTCTGATAACAAACTGATGAAATTATTTGGTGTGTAAGATTGATAATGTAATAAATTTTGTTTTTTATTAATTTACATGTATTACATTATCAATCTTACACACCAAATAATTTCATCAGTTTGTTATCAGACTTCCTTACCTTCAATGGCCACGACTGACTCAGGATAACTTCGGAGGACATGGATTCCTATTCAAAAGTTGTTCTCTCTAAGTCCCTCTACATGCTCCTTCAGTTTCGCCATAACCTTTCGAATCACCCTGTATGTGTTTACCGATCGAGATTTTTAAGCAACGATCCATCTGTTTACAGCAACCCGAGGTCTTACGAACTTCTGAATTTGTGGACAATGGTATCGTCTTATGTGCAGTTCCATCAGAATATACACACTAAATATACAACATTCTATCGAATGTACATGTTGCCTGAGAAGTGGATGTTTGCCAGCGTCTTTCTGTGTTATATGGTTAATGACGGCAAAAGACTTGGAAACATCTGATCCCCTACCGTGTGTCAAAAAAATTTCAGTAAGATTTTCTAAGTGTTAATTCTGAGGCCGATGATTAATAGGTGACATTTCACGGAGTCACAGACAGTACTCATGTAATAGTGTTGGAATTTAATCAGTACCTGGAGAAAAACCAAGATAAAAATGTACTTACTTAACAACACCATCTTCTACGTAGACATCATTATCTACCATTCCATCCTCATTCACAACCTTGCCGTTCTTAATTAGCAGTCTGTTCTGCGCACTCTGTAAACAAGAGAAATAAATTTAAATTATCATGTGCGCATGTTTACAAATACGCTTTATCACAATCCAAACAGTTCTTCCATCAATTTACGTAACGTTTCTCGGTAGATTAGACTATAACTTACATAGTAGCAGATAAGTTTCACTTATTTGAGGAAAAAAACCTTTAAATAATGTCATGATTATTTAAGATTGCAATGAACACTCATCACCCTGATGATGGAGGCAACAAGGACCTCTGAAACGCCGGTAAACTTCTACCAGACTATAAGACGCAACAAATCAGAACACAGCCATTTTCAAAATCACCGCCGTGATAACCTCAAATCCTACAAAGAGTAAAGTACTCTCTAACTCGTGGGTTGGCTTACCAGTTTTATGAGTAGACGAGCGGAGGTTTTTTCTACTCGAATTATTGTTTATTATTTATTAAAATGTTAAACATGTAAAAGTAGAATTTTATTGGTGTTTTCATCGCTGTATAAATAATCTGTGAGCTGTATGTGAAACTAACTATGGATTAGACTCCCGGGATTTGATTCTCGGTGTGGCTCCACATCGAGACCGGTTCTGGGGCCCACCCAGCCTCCTGTCCAATGGGTACCGGGGGTCTTAACCTCGAGGGTAAAGCGGCCATGGCGTGAAACTAACTTGACAATGTTAAGAAGAAGTTGGACTATCTGTACCACCTCATACGCCTTAATTGCATGCTGATTTGTTAGTATCAAATCAATAAAACAGTAACCAATTTACCGACCGTATTTCTAAATAAATTTCTCTTATATGCTTTTTCTGACATTTTTCTCGTACGAGTAGTGAACCCCCACCTCTCATTTTAGTACTTTCATTATAATGTGTAATGTATACTAGTGTTTACCTAGGTAGATTATTTTTTTTATCAAATTTTTATCTTTGTAATAGTGTTTGCCTGTCATAGGCTCTTTGCTGTTGGCAAACACTCAACAAAGGAATTTAACTATTATTATTATTATTATTATTTAGTATTATTTATTTTATTTAGAATTATTAAATTGAATTATATTACTTAGGTATCGTATTTAGCCCATTTATTTGTGAAATATGATTGAATAAATGAATCTAATTATTATTATTATTAATATGGTACATTTATATATTCAGTTTCATTTGTTTGTTTTACTTTTATTATTATTGAAATAAGTTAATTACTTATTATATTTTATCATGTACTCTGGTTTAGTGCGTTATATGTGAAATATGTAAAAGATTTGTAATCGTAGGATTTGAGGTTTTCACAGCGGTGAGTATGAATATTTCCGTCTTCTGGGTTATTGCGCTATATAGTCTGGTAGAAGTACACCGACGTTTCGAAGGTCCTTGCTACTTCCGTCATCAGTACTAAAGTCTTATAATTGATAACGTCTTCAAATAGAGGAAATACAGTAATATTCTTCGAGTTGTACTAAGATTATTGTGGTAATTATTTTTATTAACGTTTTAAAAATAGTTTATAAACAGGTAATCGGTCGATAACTCTTTAGTTCCTGCCCGCCTAAAATGATTACAGTCCCTTGAGATAGTAAATTCCGAGCCGAGGTCTGAATAAAACTCTGAAGTAGGCTGGAGGTGTGCCAGCTACATCAGTGGGTCAACATGAATGAAATGCGGATACGATCTGGGGAAACACGCTCCGTATTTTTTATTATGATAAATGCATATTGTGAAACATTTGCCTTCTTGAATCAGCTCACACAGATATGTTATCATTTTTGTAATCAGTTTGAGAGTATTGAACTTAGAACATGTATAATTTTTGTCCATATTTTGACTTCATTTCCCTCTAAGAATATTTCTTATAATATATTTACATAGCAAAGACCTTGTAAAGAAGCTGATAGTTGTTTATTTAATCAACAAATTCTTCATATTTTATTGAATTCTAATATTATGTTTTGCCCTGTCTGACAAAGTATACAGAATGGGAATCTACGGGAGTTTTCGAACCAGAATAAAAAGATTTGATCAAAATTCGTGTATTATTTCAAAAGTAGTT